TATATATATCTTTGTCTGGGACAGATGGATCCATGACCTAACACTTCTGTATCAAGTCAGCCGGCATAATCATTCATGCATGCCAATGASTTTGTACGAGCAAGGCTGTGGAGAACTTTTTTTTGCATGTGTTCAAACACTCTGTTTTGTTGTTATTTAGTTTGCATGAAACTTGCATATGAAATTGAGTGGACGATTGTCACGCTTCCTAGAAATGACCATGTATCCTTTTTCACTACAAGGAACAGCAACCATTTTGTACCAACAAAAACGCTGGCTTATATTTCACATGTATCTGTGGTTTTAGTTAGTTTCTTCTGTACACTTCTGCAATGTCGATGGCATTTTTCAAACCCCTGTCGAGGCTGGGAACAGTGCAATTACCCGGCGACAAAAGGACCACAAAAGGCTGGACACAGGCTTGGCAGATTACTGGAGGACACCTCATTACTGCAGCAGACTTCAACAATAGGTCTTGGCAATGCTTCCTCTACATCTATCTGTCAAGTGTGCTATTAGCCTGTCAAATAGGTACAGTCAGCACCATTAGGCCACCTTGATAATCAGACCTATTTACCCCCTCATTTTCCCCTCCTTCACTGTCACAGTCTCTGGGTCTGGTAGAAAAAAAAATCTGTGCCCCATTTTTTCATTCTGCCTTGTCTTTTTTCCAATCCTTCCCTTATGTCATTCTTCAACAAAGACAAGTGCAGCTGGTCGTTATGATCCTCTAAAAGTTGATGTAATCAAATTTGGTATGACATTGACTGGTCAGGGAAAATTTCATTTTGAAAATATACTTCAATACAATAAAATAAAGTAAAAAAAAAGATCTGGATAAAGCAATTACTCTCTCTTTGGTCCCTGAGATGAATGTAGAGTAAGCTCATTCTACAATTAATGGTAAAATTGACCAAAATGAAATTAATTTAATGTTTGCTATTCCATCACGAGATGAGAAGATGTATTTGCAGACCTAAGTGTTCATCTGCACTGGATAGAAGACATAATAGAATACATCACAGAGCAGAAACAAAGTTCCACAAAGACAGACTGTTATGAGAACATTCAATACTTGGACTCAGCTGGACATTTCTTGTCTTTGACCACATATTGACTAATATTCATTATTAACACACTAATTTACAGTTAATAACATTATTCTACTAACCAAGTGAAAGACCTAATTATAAGTTTGTTTAAACTGCATCTTACATTAACAACCCAGAAT